ATTTTATCATGGCCTAACAAAAACCAGAAAGCACAATGACGACAAGATGGAAGGTTTATAAAACAAATTAATCGACCAACGGGCCGAGTAAAAGCTAGCAGCAACGATTGTGAGATGCTCATTTCCCGAAAATCGACGGGATAGGCGATTTTTTATTCGATTTTCTGGAATTCGGTTTCTATAAAACTTACTCCACCTCATCATATTACCAGAAACAATATTGTTTCACAAGGTAACATGTACTTGGTTTTGGTTCATAAGGCCGATTTTTGATTCATTGCATCATTCATGTCTCTTTCCTGCTAAAATTCACTATTTTTATCACGAATTTTCCAAAAAAAACTATACAACAATAAGCTATACACCCCATTATATTATCAAATTTCATACCTCACATTCTTCCGGCCAACTGGCCGGGGCCCACACTAGTCTAGATAATAAATAAAAGCCGAATGATGAAAACTGTTGCTCCATTTCAAATTTCCTGCAACGAGAGTGATTATAGGAAGGACATTTTGGTCTTCACAATTGCTTATTTTCTTATTTATTTATTCATAAAAAAGCCATGCACTGGGATTTGAACCTTGGTCTCTTTAAAGGCAAGCAAGGATCATAACCAATCACACTAAGTATATTTGTTGTATCTATTTAAATTCAAACATACACGAACCTAAATTATGAAAATCATATGACTTTTTTAACGATTAGTTGGCCACTGAATCTCCCGTAAGTACTTATTTGGTGTTTTAATACTTTGATTATTTTAGTTGTAGTTTAATACTTAATTTAAATTTCTATCTATTTTATAAATATACAATAACCCTAAAATTGCAGCTCAAATATCACTGGTTCGAATATTGCATATCGAATTGCAATATTAAACATGTAGAAGCAATATCGACTTCTTAAATTAATATTATTTTTCAGAATTACTATGGAGAAATTATATCTTTGTGCAAACTATATGAGACTGGTTCTTTTAATGTTTTAGTCGGGATAACCGCTACATTTTAAACTTCTTCATAATCTGGCATGATTGGATCCAATGATCATTATACAAGATTGTGTTTAATAGGGTGGCTCATTTCACCACTTTTTGGCGTGTTAATGAATTTGTAGGACAATGACAGGTCTACATCTACACTCATCACAATCTACACATCATATAAATGTGAAATGAGAAATGAGGGATTCCATTTCAAATTTGATGCGTACAGAGCAATTTTTTAGCGGTAAATTTAGAAGATGACAGTGCGGTCGGTCTGTTGAGCACGAAAGTAAAAATATGTTTTCATTTAAACGGGCCCAAACTGTTATTTGGCCCACTAATCGTGCACCCATCGCCAATGCAGTCAAATTCGGGATTTTGATCATAAAATCGTAGGATTTTACTTAGGGATTCCGATCTTGATTTTACTATAAAATCGGTGGACCTTAAAATCGTTTAAAATCAGGACTAAAATCGTTAAAATCGTATCGAAATCGGGATTTTGATCGTAAGAGAACAAAATAGGTGGTTTGAGCCAATTTAAAATAAGTATAACTGTTTCAGCGGAAAGGGCAATGGAATCTTCTAATAGAAAAATATTCAAAAATAATAAAAATAACCAAATTAGGGTTCGGTTAATCTCTTTCCCTTCACCCCATTTAACTTATTGGTAAAACACCTGTCCTAATATTGGAAGTATGTAAGAACTAACATCATTATTAACTAATTAATTTATTAATGAATATATTTGTACCAACCCACTAACATTACTTATTTTATTGGAGTTCAATTATTTTTAGTTTTAAATCATACTTAGTAGACGATGTCGAAATATTACTTTGAGTTAAACAACCTAGACATAACATGAAAATAAGAGCCAAACCCATGAACTATATCTCTTCATCATGAACTATTTTGAGTTACATATTAAATAACAATTAAAATAGTGATTTTGGAACATTAATCTTGAGAATTATCTTATGGAAAAAAAATCTTCTGAATTATCATTTTAAATGCTATGTGTCTTTGTGATATTAATAATTTACCTTATTAATATTCTTATATGCTATGTTCTATATGGTACTTAACATCCTACGATTTTACGATTCGATTATACGATTTTGATTTTACCCCAGTTTTCGATTTTAGGTAAAATCTCGATTGTAACTGCTTTGCCCATCGCAGCATCTCCAAATCTTCCTATTCTACTCGCCGGGTCATCTCCTCCACTACAAAATATCTCCTCATGTACTCAAAGTTCTCACTGAAACCTAATATCTACAACTTAGGCGCAGAGGGAGCAACCGATGGATTGTAGCGACCCCCACTATTTTGATAGCTAATCAAGAAGAGCGCGTTTGTTTAGTTGTATGGTCATTCACTTAATTAACAATTTTAATTCCATTGACAGCCTCCTCTCCGCAATTGTATTGTGTTCACGAAGATCTGAAGGCGCAAGTGCAACAGGTCCAGGGGTAAACAATATGTATAAAGCGTTGGCCAAATTGAATTGAGTCATTCTACTTGGAATATGAAGATTTTTGCTTAATTGCTTTGGTTCGTGATGCAACTATGTTATGTTTGAAGGTAGACCAACGCAAACAACAGCACAGCTCCAGGGCTATTTTGCACATTAGGTAGTTGGGGCATTAATTGATAATTATTTGGGATTATTCCTACAAGTACATAATTTGGAACGTGCCTTTATATTGCATTGATTAATAGTTGTTTGAGATTTTTCAAATGAGTGATTTGACATGTTAAACTCTCTTATTTTTGAAAATGGAGTCTTCGAAGTGGAATATGAAGATTTTGGATTAAGCTTGGTTTCGTAACGCCCTTATGGGTGTTTATTCTCTAAAATGCAGTTGTCTTTCAAAGTGCCCGTTGCAAATGGCAAGTCAGGATACAACGATGGTACCGGTACACGTTTATATCATTAGTAGGTAGCAGATTGTGTCCATTCTACTATATCATTTAGCTAAATACTTAGTTGTTCTTTTCAACTAAAAATTATGCTTAAATGCTGTGATTGGCCTAAGAAATGTATGTCTTTGCATTAACTGTTAATGATTGTGAGTTTTGGTTTAATGGTGAAAAGTCCATTTATTTAGAAGTCTAAATTGGGCAAACCTATTGGACAATAGGAATGCCATACATTAGTGTCGTGGGAGGTTTGTTTGATGTCTCAGGGTGTTAGATTTTTAAGAAGGTTGTTTGTTGTGGCAGAGAGTCCCTAAAGCTAGCGAGGTATTCCTATGTGGGCTTTTTCTTTGTTTGACTTTTTCTCGCCCTTTTTCTTATCTCTTTTTCTATTTTTGGTTTTTGTGTGCTACCTTCAGTTGCTACGTCTTCATTTGTGAGCCATCTATACTTTTCTTATTCAGTGCCTAAAAATCATATATACTCGATTTCATAGTAGTTACTAATAGATACATTTATACCAATAGAGAGATTTTAAGTTTTATCAGTTGTTAGTTTTAATATTTACTTACATTGGTTGTTTATGTAGTTTTCTTTGTAATATTTCTCATTATACAACTAATTACTATGGCTACGTAGTTGTATAAGTGGGGGTTGGACATGATAGTTCTTAGAAGCATCAATACTTGAAGGTTATTATAATGATCAAATTCTAAAGTTATGGTTTGCCTTCAACTTGCTTGGAGCATTTCAATTATGCATCAATTGTTCTCTCCGTGTAGTTAACTCTCAGACAAATCGAAAATCTTGTTGATATGTGCTTGATTGTAGTTAAATTTAGGGTTCTACTGCATTGTTGCTTTACTCTTTTTTCGTGGTTGAGTCTGCTTCAAAAAATTTAGTTTGATTTTAGAAAATTTTGCTTCTGCAGTCCTGTCTTGCCACCAACGCGTTCAATAGATGGAGACGGGAGAGGCGAAGGCTATTTTTGTGTTGTTGTTGTTGGTTTAGGGATCGGTTTGCGAAGAAGAGGGAGAAGAGAGGGGGAAAGAGAAATGCAGGAGAGGGGGATAACTCTTTTCTCCGACAAAAATGGAGTGAAGAAAGGAATTATGATCAGTAAGAATATGGTTATCTTACATAACGGTCTCTATTCTGTTTGAATTGAGCTTGAGAGGCAGTAATAAGGACGAGCTGCAACCAATTCATAGTGAGAAGAGAGCTATGAACTGTGATCATGTCTTATTTCAAGTTAGAAGGTAGTTTCAGTATAAGGATTATTTAATTTGACAAGTTGTTTCGTCCATGATTCTTGGTAGTTTCAGTGCCATTCTAGCCAATGTTTAGTCTGTAATTTTTGAGAATTGATGTGCGAGTAATGACTTTCACTTAGCTTCAACTATTATGTGTGTATTTATTGGCATGTGATAGAATTCTCTTTTCCTTTTCATTGAATTCATTTTCATACTCTAATTGTATTATTTGTACATAGGCAAATCATGCTCGAGATGGCAACTCGCTGATATGGCTGGTGCAAGGAATGAAGCCATCATTAGAATTCAGACCGACAACGGGGAGGGGTGCCCAGGACTAATTCAATGATGATTGATGATGGTATAATAAAAACTGCAGTCTGCATCAGCACCAATTTCTAGGCCTAAGTAAAGGTATTCAACCCAGAACTCTGCTTAGCGCTAAAAATTGCCCTCACCCAACCTTGATCCTGTTTGACCCACTTCTGAACAGTCAAGATATATGACTAATCCTCCCCGTTCGTATTTTCTTATTGACTCTTTCTGAACCTGTAGGTTGGGGCGGGTCGGGAAGAATTGGATTAGTGGGTCGGTCCTAATCAAGTGGAATCCCAATCCCTTCACGCTCACTTGCTTTCTCTCCCATTCCACAAGTAGGTAACATACAGTAATCCGGCCAACAGGCCGGGTAATAAGCTAGTTTGGTATAAAACCCTTGGAGACTGCAATTCTCCCGCTGGGTTTTAATAGTTGCGCGAGCAAAACATCGCCGCTACCGATCTGTGTTCCTACATTGTGACGTAATCCGCATCCGGAGAAAGCACCGCAGATCAAGGATGTCTATCCAAAACCCTAATAAGAAGATTCGTAGCGAAGGAAAACCGGACCAGCAACAAACTGACGCCGTCGACCGATTGAGCAGTCTTCCCGACCACGTTCTTCACCACCTCCTCTCCTTCATAGTCGAAAGCCGATTCTCCGTCCAAACCTCCGTCCTCTCCAGGAGATGGAGATCCCTGTGGAAGCACGTTCCCCGGCTCACCCTCCGCGCCAATTTCTCCACCCTTGCTTCAACTTTCGCCAGGTATGTGGACGCACTCTTGTCCGCCCGCCCCGACGGCAGCAACGTCGACGAGATAAACTACTGCGACTTGGAATTCTCGGGGAACACGGAGCCGCTCCACAAGGTCATACAATTTGCTGCTTCTCGCCGTTGTGGAGAGTTGTTTGTTACTACAGTCACAGATCTCCAACCCTATTTCCTTGCCCCCTTGGCTGATAATAGCAATCTCACAACGCTAGAGTTGAGGGCCGCACGTTTGGGGACGGGATTCGGTGGTTTCAGCTCGCTGAGGGTTTTGCATTTGGATGAGGTCAGTCTGCCTTGTAGCAGTGCCGCTGATCTCGATCTTTTCGTTGGGTTCCCCAGCTTGGAGAAGTTGGTAGTGGCTAACTGTGTGTTTAGCCGTAAGCCGGATGATCCTCCTTGTTGCTTCAAGGTCTCCGGTCCCCGGCTCGCCCATCTCCTGATTAGCTTTCTTGTGCTAAGGTTGAAATATTTGCCCCAAACCTCAAATTCCTAAACATCACGGAGGGTATGGAATGTTCCCCAATTTTGTACCGGTTAACCCTCCCTATTTCCCTTGGTCATTATTATGTACATGATAGCGGCCGTGTTGAAGGAGAGGACAAGGAAAGAACGAAGGCGCTGCTGCAGGATGTGAGTTCTTTGACTTTGATGCGCATCTCGGATTCTCTGGAGGTGTTGAGATTGATGTTCTTGTGCTTTGTTACTTTACTGGATTAATTTGTGTTCTTGGCCTACTCTGTGCAGCTGCATCGATCTGATTCTCCCTTGACCGGAATAAAGTTTTTGAAAGTGATGTCGCCGTGCTTTCCTGAGTTTCGGTATGTGATATCTCACGTCACTTACTTCATGAAAGGATCTCCCCGTTATGGACCAGAAACTATTGAGTTTGTCTAGGTAATTGATTCACAAAATTCGCTTTCTCCTACTCGTCTCGTAATTGTATCGGTTAAGTAGACATCTTTCCCTTCCTTCTCGTTTCACATCATCCATTTATATATGATATGATGAGGATTATCTTGTGTTTATTTATGTTAGCTGAAGTAGGGATCTTTCTGGATTTTTCTTAAGGAATCCAGATTCTCTAGTTATGTGTGGTTACTTCCGCCATGGAAACTGTGCATTTCGCTCACCCATTAAGCATGTCACGGCCACTATATTGCTTTCTTCATTTTTGTTGGTGCTTGACTCACCTTCTTGTTATTTGTTTTGGAACCAACAATCTCTTTGGTAGTGGTTATATGAAATCTGCAAAAAAGTAGGGAAGGAATGTGAATTACTCAGTTGATCATCCTATTTCACATAGAAAAAGAGAGGAAGAAGAATAGTCGGTACTTTCATTCATACAAAAGTCGTTTATCTTCCCTTCCTCCTTGATTTTTGATAGCGGGTAGGACTAGGAGAGCACATCCATGACAAGCCAAAAAAGACCCAAAGAGTGTGGATCCCCTCTGTCTCAACCCCTTTTGAGTTGAGAAGTACTCTTTGGCTTCTCCGTTAGTGATTGTGGAGATCACCGGAGAACACATGGTTTTGTGTATCCATTTCTGCCATCGCAAAGGAAAACTCAATCTAGGGAGAACTCCGAATAAACCGTCTCAACTTACATTGTCGAAAGCTTTCTCGAAACATTAACATCAATTTTAAGCTTTTGAGTCGGTTGTCCACTAACTTGAAGGCCATGAGTCCCACATCTCAAAACTGTACCCCTTGCAATGAAGAATGTTGATTTCGAGACACCAATTGAGGAAGCACATTCCTAAGTATATGAGATAAAACTTTGTTAATCAATTTGTTAATACTTTCCATCAAACTAATAGGCCTCAGATATTTAATTTCTTCGACAATATCCTTCTCCGGCATCAAGCAGAGGAATGAATGACATGCACATCTCGGAAGGCTGCCCGAAGAATTAAACTCAATGGACACGTTCACTACTTCCCCTCTAACCCACGACCAACACCTCTTATAAAATTCCAACGAGAAATCGTGTCCTGGGGCTTCCCCTATCACTCTCGCTGAGGCTCTTCTAAATTTTGACCTCAGTGAAATTCTGCGTGACCAGGTTACCCTCTTTTTCATTAAGTTCCAGTGTTCCACTCAACATATTGACTCGGAAAGGACCTCAGTGGAACTCTGTCCTTGAGCTGTTTCCGAGCTACCTGCTTGGATGTTAGCATGTAGTTCTTCTAGTGATGAGTTGAGCCCTGGTGTTAATTTGTTGTTGTTTTTTTTTTTTTTGGTGTCTGTATTTTTGAACGATCTCAGGTTTTTTTTTGGCCGGTTTCGGTTGCTTTCCTCCGGGACACTCTTTTATGGTGTTTTTACTCACTCTCACTGCTTTGTGGAGTGCAGCCTCTATATCTCCTCTCTTTGCCTCTCATTATAAGAAAACCAACCATTTCCTTAAAAAGATTCTCATAGAAGCAATCAATTCCCCTTTCCAACTCTTCTTTGCCTTCCACCACTCCCCCATTGATTTTAATACTTCGATCAGATTAAGCTTACCTTCCTTTTATAGTTTTCCTTTTATAGCCACAGTTCCTTCGACTTCTACCTCCATGATTTTTCCTGCAGAAACAGCACCCTAGCACTATTTGGCATCCATTTCTCTTTCAGTGAGAATCCTAGACTCATCAATAAGCTCCATGTCTCTAATTTTTCCAAGCAACTCTTCAATCTTTGCGCCAATGTTACCAAAACCTCATTATTCCAAATTTTAATTTTATCCTTCAAATCTTGTTGTCTTCTAATCCATAGAAGGATATCTCCCCATCCAAGCAGCAAAGTCTTGCACCAATCAGTCAAACCCCTATAAAATCTCTCATCCTCCAGCCACATCTTTTCAAATCTCCAAAGCTTTTTGATTCTCCCAATTCCCTCCGCCATTTGATAAAGAGAGGGTTGTGATCGGACTTCACACGCTCCAGCGTAGACTGCGTGCAATCGGGGAAAAGGAAATCAAAAGCGGGCGATACGAACACTCAATCGAGGCAGGAGAGAGAATCATGACATGTTCCTATGCTCCATGTGTATCTGCTCGCAGCTAATTGTAATTCCAGCAAAGGACACGTAAAAAGGGAATTGATTGTGAGGAAGCAAACAAAGAGAAGGATAATTGAATTCCTCCAATTGGTAGTAGTACGAAATAATCTTCCTCTAGCCAAATGGGCTTAACCTGAATGAAGCCCAAAACCAAACTAATGAATTAAAAAGAAAGAGGACTAGGCTTTAGAAAAGGAAGACAACAAGCCTTAAATTGTCTTGTCCCAGGTAATTGATTTTTATAAATCAACCGGCCCAGAATGAGATTTCAGACTAAATCACAATCTGGAGAGAAACAGAGCAAAAGGGAAAATAGAGTAGCAACAGAATTGAACGAACAAACCTAAAAGATAACTAGCTTCGTTCCCGGCCGATGGCTGGATAAATATATTTAATAATTATTTCACTTAATATTTAAATTATTTTCAATTTATTAATATTTTATATTGATTTTATTAATTAATTATAATTATTTATTTTTTAAGACATAAAATATAATTTAAGATTCACCGAGTTTAACTAATTTTTTATTTGATATTGTTTTTTTACAGAGTGAAAATATTATGCATAAGAAGTTAAGTGCTAAATATATATGATAATACGATAGTACCAATCATGTCGTGATTTTTTTTTTTTATGAAGAGGAGGCAACAACCAAGGTTACAGAGACAGGCAACAACCACCCAGTTCTGAGACATCATACGTCGAATAGCAGCCAACATCGTGGAATGAGGATGAACAGGGTCTTCCCGCGCTTTAATAAGATCAATAGCGAGCTGCGAGTCTGTTTCTAAGATAAGAAACTATGTACCGTGATTCCAGGCCATGAGGAGCCCCTGATGGATGCCCCACAACTCTGCAAGAATAGCTGAGCCAGTCCCAATCTTGCAACAGAAGCCACAACCCCAATCTCCATTACTATCTCGGAGCACCCCACCTGCCGTCGCTAACCCTTGATTGCCTTGAGCTGCACCATTAGTGTTCATTTTCCTCCATCCACCCGGCGACGCCTTCCAACCAATCAGTTGGTCCGACCTCAGAGATTTCTCTACCGCACTTAAGCTTGAGGTGGCATTATCCCACGTCTTCAACCAGTCGGTAGCTTTAGAAATGACATAGTTGACTATGGAAGATTCGACCATCTTTCTCCCCTGAAAAATGAACTCATTTCTATACTTCCAAACATACCAACAAATTAAGGCAAAGAGACTTGGCCAGTCCTCCTGGATATCCACCCCAAGTTTCTTCTCCAGGTTCATTTCAAACCAATTATCCGGATCTGCAGAGAAGAAGCCATGTTGAGCCTGGACAGGAAGCGACTTCTCCCAAATCTTCCGCGTGGCTGTGCAGTCTCTCAGACAATGCATATTTGTCTCCACTGCTTCTTTGCAAAGCTGGCAAGTGTCATCAGTAGTGTCGTGATTAATATCGTCAATGGACTTTATCACAATCAATGTAGTCAAATTGGCTTTAAAACTTAAAAACTTACGATTTTACGTTTCTAGGTTACTAAAACGCTTCTACACAAAATCTCAGTTTTTACAACTTATGTAGTTAAAACTCCGCTTAAAAACTTATGATTTTACGCTTCTAGATCACCAAAACGTTTCTATGTAGAAACTCGCTTTTGACTACACTGATCACAATATATTTGTGATTAATGTTAGTGTTGTGGTATATGATCCACGATTGAACCTCCAACAACTCGAGTTATTGGGATCAACTGGTTCTTGACATGAGATCAGAGCCTTCTGTGACCGAGAGGTCTTGTGTTCGATTCCCGGTAACCCCCATTTGTTAAGCATTTGGTATTCTTGTCTTCAGACCCGTGCAAACTTCAAGCACTTGTGAGTGACTTTCGTTTGAGGGGGCGTGTTAGTGTTGTGGTATATGATCCACGATTGAACCTCTCCCAACAACTCGAGTTATTAGAATCAACTGGTTCTTGACAATTAATAGCATCAAATTGAATCAATTTAAAATTTAAATAGTTAACTACCTTATTGAACTATAGATTAAGATTTGGAGTTTATGGGTTCAAATCCTACTGATAACTATTTATATTTTTTTATTGTAGCAAAACGTATAAAAAATGATAAAATGACGTGATCTAGCGTGGATGATAAGAATTGAGCAAATATGAAATCAGAAAGTCTTATTTGGTTCGAATTTGATAAAATAAATATTCTATTAATTTTTTCGTACCTAAAATTCAGAGCATTTTATAATACTATTAACTTTTAAGCACCCTCGTCACACGAACATTCATAAATGAAATGACCAAGAACGATCACCTTAAACTTTTTGATTCAAAACCGTCATTTCGTCTACACTATATTACGATAAACTTTGGTTGAAAACCCTATTCCTTAGAAGCAAATAGTGCAAGGAAAAAAAATGCTAATTGAAAGGTAACCTTTTTAATAAATATAATTGACATTTACATAAAAATCAAATATAACCAAAATTAGATATAGTAAATAGGGATGACAATGGGTCGGATACAGTGCGGATACCCCATATCCGTTGCCCACAATATCTGCCCGCGGGTTTTACCCATCACCGACCCACTAAGCTTAATGGGCAGAGATTTAGTATCAAGCCCAAATCCAAGCGGATTCCGGTGAGCCCGCGGGTCATGGTTTACCCGCAAACCTAATAGAACTCAGCTATTACTCATCAGTGATCCCTATTCCAGATCAAACACAACCCATTAAATGAACACAAAAATGAATTGAAAACCAAAATTTAATAACATTCAAGCGGTATCCATGAATTGCAAACCCAATACTTGTCTAAAATTCATGAATGTAACTTTCAAAATGAGCACAAACCAAGAAATATGAGCTGTCGACTAGCAGAAATCTGCAATCCCAGCAAACAAGCCCAGAAACATGACCTATCAACTAGCAGAAACATTAACTGCCAACTGGTAGAGTTCTGCAATCCCAGCTAACAAACTGAGAAACATGGCCACAATGGAAACAGTGGCAGTTCGAACACAAAAACAAACTCAGAAACAAGCCACAAAGGAAACAGCAGGCAACATCATTCATTCTTCACTTCTCCATAACATCCAGCAACCCATAATCAGTCCAGCAATCATCAATCAAAAGTAATTGACCAACTTTTAGGTTCCTAGACAAGATCTGCTGTAACATCCCATTTCGGCTAAACCCATATTTCGATCGCTAGAAAATTTCACGATTTAAAATCGAGCGTTTTGATAATATTTTAGCGAAAATCGGATTATCGATCGATCGGATAAATATACGTATTAAATATATATACAATATATATATATATAAATTATTTATATATATATATATATAAGCATCGGCCGGTCCATTTAATTCCCTTCCCCTGTCCATTTTCTTTCCATCATCATCGTTTCATTCTTTCTTTTCCTGGACCGAGAGAACTGGAGCAGAGGGCGCGCAGGGGAGGTGAGTACGGAAAGTTTCAGAGCTCAAATTCTTGAGCTCTAGTAGCCCAAAAATCCCGTAAGTAATGCTTAATTCATCTATACATCGTGATTTATCGATTTAGAGCTTTAAAACGAGTTTTTGGTTCAGAAATTTCTTGAATTCCCGATAAGCTAAATTAGGGTTTCGGAGTATCCGGAAGTCGGATTGAGCCCAAATTTCATATACGAGCTTCCTGCAGCAAGGTAATCAATCCTCTAGTTATAATCCCTGAATTTCGGCAATTATTTAGGTCGGGGTCCTAATCGCTGAATTTAGCTCCGGCCAGGGTTTGATGTGTTTTTATCGAGAATTTGACCCGGAGCCTAGAACTAATATTGACGGGGATACTGCAGGGGATATTAGGACGGTCTCGGATTTTAATTCGGGGTTCGTTCGTGAAATTGACGTTTTAGTACGGGAGGCTAGAACCGGTGTTTGAACGACCAGAACTAGTGAGGGATTGGCACGGCATACCGGGTTTGTCGTATCACGATAATTATATTGATGCTTAGAATTGACCTAGGTGAACTAGAATGACATGATTAGGGGTGTATGGACTTTTGTGCTATATGATGAACCATGGACTGCTATATGATATTATTGACTTGCCCTAATCGATATGGACCTGGCTTATGCTGATGATTGTGTATATGTTGCAAATTGTGGGCTTGACTGTTGATATGCCTTATGATGGTTCGAAAAGGTGATAGGGTATGATTGTTCATGATTGTTGTATTTGGATGTACAAGTGGGAAAATATATATCCCATGGTGATATTATGATGTTTTAAGGAGGATGACTTGCACGAGGGTTTATCCCGAGGAAGTGCAATTATACGACTCCTGATTTACCTATGTTGAGCCAATTGTGGCCGGGTCAAGTACATGTGTAAGTAACGAATTATGATTAAGCAAGATGAGATATGGATCATGTATAAGGACATCAAGTAAGAGTGATTTGGTCTCATGGTCAATTACATAGTAATTAGGGCTCCCCATGCTATTACTCCGTTATGATATGTTATGTCACACCCCTGATGTGGTGTTGACCGTTGATTCATCATGAGATATGACCACACCCAGAGTGGTGTTGAGTCCGATATGACCACACCCATAGTGGTGTCAGGTCCGATATGACTACACCGGCAGTGGTGGGTCCGATATGACCACATCCACGAGATGTTTGGTCCGTATTCCCGGGAGAGTAATTAGCATGGGAGTAGCCAGGCGCCTATAAGTAAAACATGATAAGACGCATATGCATAAGTCAAGGTGGTTGAGTCTTTTGCCTATTGGGATGTCGGATAGCTGAGGTCTGATCCTAGTGCTTTGGCTTGATTGTTAGATGTATGGTAGGGGTCTGCTGGTTATGAACTCACTATGCGATGATTGTCTCACTCAGCTATGAGCTGACTCTCTTTTGTTCTTTTCCTCTGCTTATGCTATGTGTAAGCAGATCATCAGCAGTAGCAGTAGCAAGTACTTAGGTGTGGGCAGAGCGAGGAGTTAAAGGCAGGATGAGGTATTGTCTTCAACTATTTTGTGCTTGGACTATTACTCGGGATTTTGGCCAGTGATCCACACCTTTTTGTAAAATGTTTTGAGAACGTTTTTCATGTGCATACTAGCTTCTGATGTAGTGTGAGATATCCACAGGTATGGAAAGTTGATGATATGTGTATATTTGTGTAATTATGTAAGTTGTGACGATTATGACTTGTATAAGTATGATATGCAGTTGTGGAGTATGGAAACTGTGGCTATGGCTAAGAAAAGCCAATGCATATGGTTGTGAGTATATATGTTTGTGATGAATTATTTTGCAGGATAAGTTGCAAGAACTGTTAGCCCATTACGCGAGTAATTCATGTCGAAATTTTATTTGGGTAAATTTTGATAATTAGTGTAACACCCGAGATTAATTCCGCTGCAATTGTATGAACAATATGATTAGGCAAAACGTATAGGGTAGGGTGTTACAGTTTGGTATCAGAGCCGGTTTGTTTTCTGCATTATGGGTATGTTACTTTCACTCTTGAGGACTGATCACCCTCAAAAGAGGAGGGGGTACTCCATATCTGTACCTGCACTAAACTTTCCAGGATTGGGACCAAAGGTGATGATGTGTTGCATAGTCAGTTGCATATGGTCAAACATGATTTTGAGTATTTGAAGGAATCTTGAAAATTTTATGGTTTAAGAGATTTTGAAAATTTTGTTGAGTTTTTATCTTGTTTTACAAGTTATAATTTCGGAGAAAGTTTTAATGGTGAGTGGATCAAGTTATGGCCAATATTTCCTTGTAGCTCGCACAGAAGTTGTTCTAGAAATCCTACTAACCAATCGAGAAGCATGGTGGGTAGCTATGCAATGCAGTTGATTTTAGATTATGCCAGCAAGATGAGTTGTGGTGGTAGAGATTTTAACATGGATATGATTCTTGATGATTTGGTGACAACCATTTTGTAGATTGATATAAACTTGTGTTAGTAGCAACCTACTTTACAGGTTAACAATCCTGCTTAGTAAGTTATGCTTTCGAACTTTGTTGATGTGCTTATGATGTGATAACCCAGTTTAGGTTTGAAATCTAAACATGGGAACTTGAGGTGTTATGTGTTACCTTCTATGTTATGAATCGCCTATCCTAAAAGTTAGGTAATGGTTTATCTACGATAGACCATGTCAAGGGTAAGTAAGCAGACTAAGGGTACAACTCAAGGTTAGATTTCGAGGACGAAATCTTTTAAGGAGGGGAGAATTGTAACATCCCATTTCGGCTAAACCCATATTTCGATCGCTAGAAAATTTCACGATTTAAAATCGAGCGTTTTGATAATATTTCAGCGAAAATCGGATTATTGATCGATCGGATAAATATACATATTAAATATATATAAGCATCGGCCGGTCCATTTAATTCCCTTCCCCTGTCCATTTTCTTTCCATCATCATCGTTTCATTCTTTCTTTTCCTGGACCGAGAGAACTGGAGCAGAGGGCGCGCAGGGGAGGTGAGTACGGAAAGTTTCAGAGCTCAAATTCTTGAGCTCTAGTAGCCCAAAAATCCCGTAAGTAATGCTTAATTCATCTATACATCGTGATTTATCGATTTAGAGCTTTAAAACGAGTTTTTGGTTCAGGAATTTCTTGAATTCCCGATAAGCCAAATTAGGGTTTCGGAGTATCCGGAAGCCGGATTGAGCCCAAATTTCATATACGAGCTTCCTGCAGCAAGGTAATCAATCCTCTAGTTATAATCCCTGAATTTCGGCAATTATTTAGGTCGGGGTCCTAATCGCTGAATTTAGCTCCGGCCAGGGTTTGATGTGTTTTTATCGAGAATTTGACCCGGAGCCTAGAACTAATATTGACGGGGATACTGCAGGGGATATTAGGACGGTCTCGGATTTCAATTCGGGGTTCGTTCGTGAAATTGACGTTTTAGTACGGGAGGCTAGAACCGGTGTTTGAACGACCAGAACTAGTGAGCGATTGGCACGGCATACCGGGTTTGTCGTATCACGATAATTATATTGATGCTTAGAATTACCTAGGTGAACTAGAATGACATGATTAGGGGTGTATGGACTTTTGTGCTATATGATGAACCATGGACTGCTATATGATATTATTGACTTGCCCTAATCGATATGGACCTGGCTTATGCTGATGATTGTGTATATGTTGCAAATTGTGGGCTTGACTGTTGATATGCCTTATGATGGTTCGAAAAGGTGATAGGGTATGATTGTTCATGATTGTTGTATTTGGATGTACAAGTGGGAAAATATATATCCCATGGTGATATTATGATGTTTTAAGGAGGATGACTTGCACGAGGGTTTATCCCGAGGAAGTGCAATTATACGACTCCTGATTTACCTATGTTGAGCCAATTGTGGCCGGGTCAAGTACATGTGTAAGTAACGAATTATGATTAAGCAAGATGAGATATGGATCATGTATAAGGACATCAAGTAAGAGTGATTTGGTCTCATGGTCAATTACATAGTAATTAGGGCTCCCCATGCTATTACTCCGTTATGATATGTTATGTCACACCCCTGATGTGGTGTTGACCGTTGATTCATCATGAGATATGACCACACCCAGAGTGGTGTTGAGTCCGATATGACCACACCCATAGTGGTGTCAGGTCCGATATGACTACACCGGCAGTGGTGGGTCCGATATGACCACATCCACGAGATGTTTGGTCCGTATTCCCGGGAGAGTAATTAGCATGGGAGTAGCCAGGCGCCTATAAGTAAAACATGATAAGACGCATATGCATAAGTCAAGGTGGTTGAGTCTTTTGCCTATTGGGATGTCGGATAGCTGAGGTCTGATCCTAGTGCTTTGGCTTGATTGTTAGATGTATGGTAGGGGTCTGCTGGTTATGAACTCACTATGCGATGATTGTCTCACTCAGCTATGAGCTGACTCTCTTTTGTTCTTTTCCTCTGCTTATGCTATGTGTAAGCAGATCATCAGCAGTAGCAGTAGCAAGTACTTAGGTGTGGGCAGAGCGAGGAGTTAAAGGCAGGATGAGGTATTGTCTTCAACTATTTTGTGCTTGGACTATTACTCGGGATTTTGGCCAGTGATCCACACCTTTTTGTAAAATGTTTTGAGAACGTTTTTCATGTGCATACTAGCTTCTGATGTAGTGTGAGATATCCACAGGTGTGGAAAGTTGATGATATGTGTATTTTTGTGTAATTATGTAAGTTGTGACGATTATGACTTGTATAAGTATGATATGCAGTTGTGGAGTATGGAAACTGTGGCTATGGCTAAGAAAAGCCAATGCATATGGTTGTGAGTATATATGTTTGTGATGAATTATTTTGCAGGATAAGTTGCAAGAACTGTTAGCCCATTACGCGAGTAATTCATGTCGAAATTTTATTTGGGTAAATTTTGATAATTAGTGTTACACCCGAGATTAATTCCGCTGCAATTGTATGAACAATATGATTAGGCAAAACGTATAGGGTAGGGTGTTACATCTGCAATATGGCAGATTCATTAAGTCATTCATCACTTGATTTTGTTGCAATATTTGTACAGAAAAACTTGAGAGCTTAAAACACAAACCTAGAGTTAGTCCAGCAGATTGATGACATCAGCTACATCATCTTCCTCCCTATTCAACTCTGACTGCACTCCATCTCATTTGTTGCAAAACAAAAGTTTATTAAATTTTCAGTATTAAATTATAGTAACTTTAACTTAACCAGGCGCAGCAAGGAAATGAATCTAGTTACCTGTGTTGTCTTCTACAGTGGCATCATCCTTTGCCATTGCGGAGAAAACCCCCTCTAGAGCTTTCAATTCTGAGGCAGACACTACAAGGCAAAGCCAGAAGTTATAAATCAGTTTTACTTAGCAACAAACAAAAATCATAGCAATGAAATTACCAATTATAATAAATATACCTTTGCTATCGTCCTGAATCCAAGTTCTTAATATCATCATGGCTTCTACTGCTGCAGGATCAAGTCTACTCCGATGGGGATTAAGAAGCCTCCCACCAGAACTGAAGGCAGATTCAGAGGCAACACTCGTGACAGGGACAACAAGTAAATCCCTTGCAATGTCTTGCAAAATGGATACTTGGCCACGTTTAATTTCCACCAAACCAACACATCGAAATCTGGTGTTCTAGGATGAGGTTCCTCAGCTAGATAGTGATCTAACTCAGTGGTTACTACAGAGGTTCTAGTTTTCTTTCTTTGGCTCACATATAGATCAAAATCAAGATCTGTGGCCGAAGAAGAAGTTTGAGAACTAGAAGAAACAACAGTGTTTTTGGAGGATTTCCTCTGATACTCAACAACTAGCTCAGCAAGAACATCTTTTACTCTTTCAATCACAAGGTCAGTATTAGCAATACCAAATTTGGTTGCATAATACCCAACCAAGTCCAATTTGTACATCGGATTCATCACAACAGCAACAGCAAGCAACAAATGAATATCATCCCAGTATTTGGCAAACTTAGCCCACATGTTCTCAGCAATAGAAATGATCATCGGATTAGGATCAACTAACCACTGCATCAAACGCAACCTCAAGTCGCATACTTTAGGGAAAAATGATTGGTTGTAGGGTAGTTTGAACCAGAAAATATTGCAGTAATATCCTAGAAAACCTCAAGTTTCTCACACAAAATATGAGCAAACTCCCACTGCTCGTTGGTAGGCAGAGATTAGTATTGAGGTTCCCTTATTTTCAGAATAGCAGACACGTCCTTATATGGGATAGCAGCAGTAAGCATAGCAAAGGTAGAATTCCAGCGTGTAGGACAATCCAACACCAATTTCTTGGAAACAACCAAGGCCATCCATCACAATTAGATTAAGGATGTGAGCAGAACACCTCATATGAAGAAGTGTCCCATCCCTAATCATATTAGATAGGACTAGCCTTTGTTTCACTAGATTGATCATGGAATCATTGGTAGTACAATTGTCAAGAGCGATTGTTGACAACGTACTATCAATGTTCTAATCTTGGAGGCATTTAGCAAGATTTGCAGCCAACCTCTCACTAGTGTGTGGGGCAGGGAGGTAACCAAAAAATATAAGATGGTTCCTAAGATTTCAAAAGTTGTCTATGTAATGGGCAGTGACAGTCATGTAAGCCCTTTTTTGGTTTGTGGCAGTCCACAGGTCAGTGGTGACAGCTATCCTCCCTTTGTTTTGGTCCATGACCTTCTGAATTTTAGACTTCTATAAACCATAAATGGTCATTAAGTCTTTCTTTATGGTATTTCGGGTTGGGACTTTGAAGAGATGGTTCAATGTGCAGCAAAACCTTTTGAAATATAAGTGTTCAACTATAGAAAGGGGATACTCATGCACCAAGATCATGGTGCAGAGCTCCTTTCTAGACACCTCACTGCTGAATTGATTGGTAGTCATGTAAGTCGTACCACTAACATTGTAGTTAGCACCAAGAACTTTTGGACTCCCACCATGTATTTATTTATGAACATATTTGTTCCTATGAGTTCTAAGATGGGAGGTACCATTAGTAGATTTTCCAGCCAACACCTTCTTACAGTAGTTGCATTTAGCATTCAAAATTCCAGACACCATTATCCGAGTGAAGTGAGGCCACACATCCGACTTTAATGATCTACTAGCACCTAAGGGAAGTTGAGGAACAATATCTAGTGGTTCAAGAGGATTATCAGGATTACCAGGGGCTGGGGCAGCAGCATTACCATTCTCAAACTGTTCGGGTTCCATCTGATCAAGAGGAAGAAACAAGTAAAAACGTTTACAGAGTAGAGATTAGTTGTATAAAAGATTCCAACTTAGCTATTTCGAACTTAAGTGAACAGTTTAGAAGTTCCCAACTATTTAGAACTGTGAGCATTGTAAAAGTTCCCAACTAAGTTGTTTCGAAGTTAAGTACTTAACAGATTACATGTGTTTAGTACTTAAGCATAGCATAAACAGAATCAATGTACTGATACTATATGTGTTTAGTACTTAAGTATATCATAAACTGAATCACTCGACTGAAATTATTCGAACTTCACAAATAAAATGTGTTTAGTATTGTTAAGTATTACTTAAGAATAGCATAAACCAAATCATTGACTACCAGATTAGCTGTTTTCGACTTAAGAATAGGATAAACCAATTCATTCACTACCATATTAGCTTTTTTCTACTTAAGAATAGCACGAACTAAATCATTCACTACCAACAACAATCAAGGTCGACGACTTACCTCAGCTCACTGTAGTTTAAGCACCACCTGCTTGATGGGACTCTTGAACAGCAAGCTGCAAAAACAAAAGAGCAGAAAATAATAATCAAACTCAAATAATCTGGAAAGCTAGGGTATTTGGAAAAACTAATCGAACGAACTATTGTAACCTAAACTTACCTAGAATGACAAACAGGTAGTGGGATTCCGAATTCTGGAAGGCTAGGGTTTCTGGGTTTAGGGTTCAAAGAACTGCAGATGAACAAACCGAACAAGTAAGCCTCATATTTATACCCTTATAAGCATTAATCGAACGAACTACTGTAAACTAAACTTACTGAGAATGACAAACAGGTAGTAGGATTCCGAATTCTAGAAGGCTAGGGTTTCTGGGTTTAGGGTTCGAAGAACTGCAGATGAACAAAACGAACAAGTAAGCCTCATATTTATACCCTTATAAGCATTAACTGACTAAGGAAAGAAAGAAAGAATGGATCAATTGAAAACTTATCTCGATCTGGGAAGGAAAGCATCTGCATGCACGATTCGGAGATGATTTCCATCCATTGCGACATTTTAGGTGACTGAGTGATTGATTAAGGGTTAGATCGAGGGTTATTGGTGATAGGATCGTCGATTTAGGGCGAAAATCTGTACTAAAATGAGCAGAAATCGACAGATTAGAAGGGATTTGGGGAGAAATCGCGATTCATCGTAATTGGGTTGAGAGGAAATCGGGGATGCTGGTGGCGGGTTGTGGTGAAAAATGGGGTTTCCTGTCTCTAACCCTAAATTTTACCCTTATATACGCCTATCAAGACGACAGTTTTTTGTTAGCGGGGAAGGTACAGGACGGGGATCGCTGAATCCGTCCCCAACCCATCACCGCGCCTTGCGGATTGCAGGCCTGCCCGTCACCGCGATCTAGCTCGTCGATGCGGGTTTAGCCCATCCTTAGTAGTCGGGCCCCAGTGGATGCCCAAAGCTCGCGGGCCCATTGCCATCCCTACTGGTAAATTAAAACCTGGCTCATTGACCCGACACGA